TTACAGGGATCACCACCCCGCCCCTCACCGGGATCACTGCCCTGCCGCTCAAAGGGATCACCGCCCCTCACCGGAATCACTGCCCCGCCCCTCCACTCACAGGGATCCCCGCCCCTCCGCTCACCGGGGTCAACGCCCCGCCCCTCCGCTCACAGGGATCACCGCCCCTCCGCTCTCCGGTATCAAAGCCCCGCCCCTCACCGAGCTCACTGCCCCGCCCCCCGGGATCACTGCCTCGGCTCTACAGCCCTGATCTCTCATTCATTGTACTGTGTCCCCGGCCGGGAAGAGCCAGAGATGATCCTCCCCCCTCCTGTGATTGGGCCATGGAGGCGGCAGATTTAAATATACAGAACAGAGAAACAGCTCCACACCCGACTGCCTGAGGATAGAAGACAGGAGCCCGGGGCCATATTGTGAGCAGCAGACATACCGACCCAACTGCCCCCCCCCCCTTTTTCTCTCTCTCCCCCCCCCCCCCTTTTTCTTCCCCCCTTTCTCTCCCCTCCCTCCCTTTCTCCCTTTTTTGAGGCGTTTTTCTAAGTTTTTTTTTAATCTGCCCAACAACAAGTTATCCAAAAAAGCATAAAAAACATAAATCATGAAAAACGCACCGTAAAAAGCAGCGCAGCAACGGATCAAATATAAACTGGATACGTGTGAACCAAGCCTGACATTTCTGTGACTTCAAAGTCATGCGATTTACATTGCCACTTTGAGGCGACTTTGGATGGGTGTGACTCGGATGCGACTTTGGATGGGTGTGACTCGGATGCGACTTTGGATGGGTGTGACTCGGATGCGACTTTGGATGGGTGTGACTCGGATGCGACTTTGGATGGGTGTGACTCGGATGCGACTTTGGATGGGTGTGACTCGAATGCGACTTTGGATGGGTGTGACTCGGATGCGACTTTGGATGGGTGTGACTCGCATGCAACTTTGGATGGGTGTGACTCGGATGCGACTTTGGATGGGTGTGTCTTGGATGCGACTTTGGATGGGTGTGACTCGGATGCGACTTTGGATGGGTGTGACTTTGGATGGGTGCGACTTTGGATGGGTGTGACTTGGATGGGTGTGACTCGGATGCGACTTTGGATGGGTGTGACTTGGATGGGTGTGACTCGGATGCGACTTTGGATGGGTGTGACTCGGATGCGACTTTGGATGGGTGTGACTCGGATGCGACTTTGGATGGGTGTGTCTTGGATGCGACTTTGGATGGGTGTGACTTTGGGATGGGTGTGACTTTGGATGGGTGCGACTTTGGATGGGTGTGACTTGGATGGGTGTGACTCGGATGCGACTTTGGATGGGTGTGACTCGGATGCGACTTTGGATGGGTGTGACTTGGATGCGACTTTGGATGGGTGTGACTTGGATGCGACTTTGGATGGGTGTGACTCGGATGCGACTTTGGATGGGTGTGTCTTGGATGCGACTTTGGATGGGTGCGACTTTGGATGGGTGCGACTTTGGATGGGTGTGACTTTGGATGGGTGCGACTTTGGATGGGTGTGACTTGGATGGGTGTGACTCGGATGCGACTTTGGATGGGTGTGACTCGGATGCGACTTTGGATGGGTGTGACTTGGATGCGACTTTGGATGGGTGTGACTTGGATGCGACTTTGGATGGGTGTGACTTGGATGCGACTTTGGCTTTGACTGATGCACAACTGTCGCATTGATAACATTAGGATGCAACATTCATGCGACTATTGAGAGTTTACATTGCAGTCTACCACACTCAAGTCGCATGAAAGTCGCATCAAAGTAGTTCGGGAACCTTTTAAAAGTCGCTGCCACTTTAGGTTACATAGGTCTGAACGGCTTCCATTGAAATACATGGGGCTGCAACCTGTCGCGCGACTTTGCATTTCCAAAATCGCATGACAAGTCGCACAAGTGTGAATGGAGCCTGAAAAGTATCAGCGCTCAGTTTGTATCTGAATATGATGCAGCCGGACACAAGGTCACATGTACAAGTAATAGCACCTCCCGTCCACACGGGGCGCAAATCTAAAGTCCATCAGATAAGAAGATGCCAAGCTGTCCGGCCAATGAGCTCGCTCAGCACGGGTGCCATTCACAGAACACTTTGCATTTGCTCAGTGAATGGACAGTGATGTCACAAACTCCACCTCCTCCAATCACAGAATGTCTTCCATTCATTGAGAAAAATGAAAGGCGTTCTGTGAATGGCACCCATGCTGGGCGAGCGACCTCCTGCGTTTTTCTGTGTAGCAGGGCAGCCACTCAGCAGTAGAGGAATGATACGGAGTGACACCTTCCGGAGGAATGATACAGAGTGACACCTTCCGGAGGAATGATACAGAGTGACACCTTCCGGAGGAATGATACGGAGTGACACCTTCCGGAGGAATGATACGGAGTGACACCTTCCGGAGGAATGATACGGAGTGACACCTTCCGGAGGAATGATACAGAGTGACACCTTCCGGAGGAATGATACAGAGTGACACCTTCCGGAGGAATGATACAGAGTGACACCTTCCGGAGGAATGATACAGAGTGACACCTTCCGGAGGAATGATACAGAGTGACACCTTCCGGAGGAATGATACGGAGTGACACCATCCGGAGGAATGATACGGAGTGACACCTTCCGGAGGAATGATACGGAGTGATACCTTCCCAGAGGAATGATACGGAGTGACACCTTCCGGAGGAATGATACGGAGTGACACCTTCCGGAGGAATGATACGGAGTGACACCTTCCGGAGGAATGATACGGAGTGACACCATCCGGAGGAATGATACGGAGTGACACCTTCCGGAGGAATGATACGGAGTGATACCTTCCCAGAGGAATGATACGGAGTGACACCTTCCGGAGGAATGATACAGAGTGACACCTTCCGGAGGAATGATACGGAGTGACACCTTCCGGAGAAATGATACGGAGTGACACCTTCCGGAGGAATGATACGGAGTGAAACCTTCCGGAGGAATGATACAGAGTGACACCTTCCGGAGGAATGATACGGAGTGACACCTTCCGGAGGAATGATACAGAGTGACACCTTCCGGAGGAATGATACAGAGTGACACCTTCCGGAGGAATGATACAGAGTGACACCTTCCGGAGGAATGATACAGAGTGACACCTTCCGGAGGAATGATACGGAGTGACACCATCCGGAGGAATGATACGGAGTGACACCTTCCGGAGGAATGATACGGAGTGATACCTTCCCAGAGGAATGATACGGAGTGACACCTTCCGGAGGAATGATACGGAGTGACACCTTCCGGAGGAATGATACGGAGTGACACCTTCCGGAGGAATGATACGGAGTGACACCATCCGGAGGAATGATACGGAGTGACACCTTCCGGAGGAATGATACGGAGTGATACCTTCCCAGAGGAATGATACGGAGTGACACCTTCCGGAGGAATGATACAGAGTGACACCTTCCGGAGGAATGATACGGAGTGACACCTTCCGGAGAAATGATACGGAGTGACACCTTCCGGAGGAATGATACGGAGTGACACCATCCGGAGAAATGATACGGAGTGACACCTTCCGGAGGAATGATACGGAGTGACACCTTCCGGAGGAATGATACAGAGTGACACCATCCGGAGAAATGATACAGAGTGACACCTTCCGGAGGAATGATACGGAGTGACACCTTCCGAAGAAATGATACGGAGTGACACCTTCCGGAGGAATGATACAGAGTGACACCATCCGGAGAAATGATACAGAGTGACACCTTCCGGAGGAATGATACAGAGTGACACCTTCCCGGAGGAATGATACAGAGTGACACCATCCGTAGGAATGATACAGAGTGACACCTTCCGGAGGAATGATACAGAGTGACACCATCCTGAGAAATGATACAGAGTGACACCTTCCCGGAGGAATGATACGGAGTGACACCTTCCCGGAGGAATGATACGGAGTGACACCTTCCGGAGGAATGATACGGAGTGACACCTTCCCTGAGGAATGATACAGAATGACACCTTCCGGAGGAATGATACAGAGTGACACCTTCCAGAGGAATGATACAGAGTGACACCATCAGGAGAAATGATACAGAGTGACACCTTCCAGAGGAATGATACAGAGTGACACCTTCCCGGAGTAATGATACAGAGTGACACCTTCCGGAGGAATGATACAGAGTGACACCTTCCCAGAGGAATGATACGGAGTGACACCTTCCCAGAGGAATGATACGGCGTGACACCTTCCTGAGGAATGACACATAGTGACACCTTCCAGGGGAATGATACAGAGTGACACCTTCCAGAGGAATGACACAGAGTGACACCTTCCAGAGGAATGACACAGAGTGACACCTTCCCAGAGGAATGATACAGAGTGACACCTTCCCGGAGTAATGATACAGAGTGACACCTTCCGGAGGAATGATACAGAGTGACACCTTCCCAGAGGAATGATACGGAGTGACACCTTCCCAGAGGAATGATACGGCGTGACACCTTCCTGAGGAATGACACAGAGTGACACCTTCCAGGGGAATGATACAGAGTGACACCTTCCAGAGGAATGACACAGAGTGACACCTTCCAGAGGAATGACACAGAGTGACACCTTCCCAGAGGAATGATACAAAGTGACACCTTCCGGAGAAATGATACAGAGTGACACCTTCCAGAGGAATGATACAGAGTGACACCTTCCCAGAGGAATGATACAAAGTGACACCTTCCGGAGAAATGATACAGAGTGACACCTTCCAGAGGAATGATACAGAGTGACACCTTCCCGGAGGATTGATACAGAGTGACACCATCCAGAGGAATGACACAGAGTGACACCTTCCAGAGGAATGACACAATTGTGACTTCAGCCCCACATGCTTGCAGTTATGAAAGGATCAGCTTATGCAACTGAGCCCCGCCTGTATGACCATAGAAGGAGGTTCAGCCCTCCCCTCTGTCCACGCCCTCTGCCATACTTGTCCTGTGATTGGCTGGCCCCTGAACCGTCATGGCCTGACATAAGGAAGCCTGGGAGTTGCCTGCAGACCTCAGCAGCAAAGGGAGAGATGAGTATGGTGGATCTGGCCAAGGTTGGAGCCATCCTGGTGAAAAATGCCGTCACCGAGAGGTGAGATCGCTGCACTGCAATCCTGGGGCTTAAAGGGTCACTCCACCCAGAAGTGATATGTCTGTCTCTGGAGAGGTGCACCTCTTATTACAGAGGATTTATATAGCACCAACAGTGTGCGCAGAGCTTTACCTCCTAGCACTTTCTTGTATCTGTGAGATCTCGTTGTCCTCATTGTGAAGGAGCCCCCACCATCCCTGCTGAATGTATTATTTATAGTGGGTGAGAATGTAAGGGTTTGTTCACGAGCTTTGCTCTCTGAAGAGCGATCTGCGTTCGGATCCCTCTTCAGAGAGCATTTGACAGGCGGTGAGGAGGTGTTGTATCGCCTCCCCACTGCCTGCTTTAACCCCTTCAACCCTACACTAGCATGCTGCAACCGCATCCATTGGGTGCCTGCAGAGCGGCCCCCTTCCTGTGACAGTAACGGGGCTGCAAGGCATCCATGACCTATAATCTGCATCCACATCGCAGCGGTAGTGGGCTCCTGCCTCTGGGAATCGCACCGCAGCCTAATAGTCCAGGGCTGACTCCACCAGGGGTGGACTGATGACTCATGGGGCCCCCGGGCAATAGGGGATCATGGGGCCCCTGTGTCCTTGCCCAAACTCAAAAAAGCCTATGAAAAAGGTACCAGGGGCATCTCATGGGGCCCCCAACTGACCCCCGGGCCCTCGGGCAGTGCCCGAGTTTCCAAATGGTCAGTCCGCCCCTGGACTCCACCTATATATAAAATACCGCTTTTGGGTGGTCTGACCTCTTTGATGATTTACTAATCTCCATCAGGGGGGCCTATGTACAGAAATGTAGATTGTGCTACGCGTCGCTGCGTGAGAGCGGTAATTCCCTAAACCCTGTGGTTACGCCGCGTTTTTACTGCCTCCCCAACCACTTTGCTGTAGCTGCAGAGGCTAGGGCCATCTTAATAGCATCATGGGCCCCTGAGCAAGGTAATGCACTGGGGCCCCTACCAGCCTGCCCCAATTTACTCACATCCTCACAAGAATTAAAGTATAAATAGTTGAATTAAATATATATTTGTTTTAGTACTTTCAATCAAACTGATTTTAAACAATAAAAAATACCATAAATCAAAGACAAAGCGACATAAAGGGCACAATATTGGGGGGGGGGGGGGGGGGGTCAGGAGGGCCCAATACTGGGATCAGGAGGGCACAGTACAGGGGGTGGGTCAGGAGGGCCCAATACTGGGATCAGGAGGGCACAGTACAGGGGGGAGTCAGGAGGGCCCAATACTGGGATCAGGAAGGCACAGTACAGGTGGGATCAGGGGGGCACGGTACAGGGGGGGAGTCAGGGGGGCACGGTACAGGGGGAGTCAGGGGGGCACAATACTGGGGTCAGGGGGCACAGTACAGGGGGGGTCAGGAGGGCCCAATAGTGGGGATCAGGGGGGGTGTCACGGTACAGGGGGGTGTCAGGGGGGCACGGTACAGGGGGAGTCAGGGGGGCACAATACTGGGGTCAGGGGCGCACGGTACAGGGGGAGTCAGGGGGGCACAGTACTGGGATTAGGGGGGCACGGTACAGGGGGAGTCGGGGGGGGGCACGGTACAGGGGGAGTCGGGGGGGGGGGGCACAATACTGGGATCAGGAGGGCACAGTACAGGGGGAGTCAGGGGGGCACAATACTGGGGTCAGGAGGGCACAATACAGGTTTGGGGACGCTGCCTGGGACACAACCATCCCAGGACAGCTTAGTAAAAAGTGACTGTCCGGGCAAATCTGGGAGATTTGGCAAGTATGATACAAGATTATCATAGGTCCCTCATGCACCTGGGGCCCCTGTGTAGTGCCCAGAGGTGCCCATGCATTAGGACAGCCCTGGCGGTGGGGGGGCTGTTCAGATGTTGCAGCTACAATATTTGCTCCACAGCCATAGCAAGAACAATACCTTCCGTCACCTTCAGTGGGCGCTGTGCATGGGGCTGCTCTGCAAGCACCCCGCAACCGCACACAATGCACGTGGCTGCGCAGCTGGTCCGGGATATAAGGTTGAATATTGATTAGAAGTATGATAAATATTTATAAATATACATATAAACATAAACATTCATTTCATAAATCGGGCGGTGAGGAAGCGATGCAATGCCTCCTCACCGCCTGTCAAATGCTTTCTGAAGAGTGATCTGGATACATATCTCTCTTCAAAAATCAAAGCACACGTGAACGAGCCCTTAAAGCGTCACCGAAGGAAAATATATATTTTTTTTTTTTAAGGGGGGGGGGGGGCGGGGTGTTACTGAAGTTCATTGTCATTTCGCAGGTGCGCACAACTTTAAATTTTTTTTTTTTTTTTTTTTTTTTTTTTTTATCCCCTGCGCTGCCAACATTAGGGTGACCTCCCCTATCCTTTTATTAGGTCTCAGCAGCTGTGCACTGATATCCCACTGAGATATAAAATATCAAAATAATATTCCTGCAGTGGACACAATTTCAAGGCTTGACGTGTTTGGTATCTATCTGCTCGTTGCAACTTCATCTTTTATACGGTACTGAAAAAATGGGTATTGGATTATGTCTGTGTACTAAAATGAATGTTGGTGTTTTTTTTACTGAACATTTGTGCTAATATTGTAAAGCGCTGAACAAATTGTTGGCGCTATATAAATCCTGTATGATAATAATATTGTGAGACTAAAAAAAATTGGAACTAGCACTATTTTATTCTCCGGGGTCTTTGCTTTCAGACAATATATCTATCTTGTATAATATAAAAATGTTGTTTTTAGAACGTGTGTAAAAAATGGCCCCAGCAATGCAAGGGTTAATGGGAGAGGTGCTCTGCTTTACAGAGAGTAGACCCTCCACCCGCATTCACCTCTTGTGGGAGGGGGTGTTGTTGATTGGATGTTTCTTGGGGGGGGGGGGGGGGGGGGGGTTAATTGTTGTTGTTGTCCATTCTCCTGCATTCAATCATTGCTGGGGTGTGTAGTGATGATGGTCTGCAGTAACGCAGCTGTTCAGTTGCATCATCCTCCTGCGCCCATCACACCCCACAGTGCTGCTGAGGTCGCTCCTCCTGTGCTGACCTCTCTGCGTTTTGATCGCTGTGAAAGGGAACACTTTTTAAAGGGACACTTTGCTGATTTGACTTTTAAGGAAATCTTAGGGTCCATGTACACTGCAGCTGATATACTGACATTCAGGAGCTGTTCTGCGGTTTTTTTTTTCAGCAACGAGGTGCGATGTGCAGAATCAGATCGCATAAGGTGTGAATACACAATGCGATCTGATTCTAGTGCGGACCCAAAAAAGGGTCCTGCACATTTCTGATGCGGTGCGAGTCATACAAAATGTACGGTTCAAATTACACCGCACACAAATCGCATGTGATCCGCAGGGAATGCGGTGCGGTTCCTGTGCGAATCACATGCGATATACCGCACCGCATGAGTGTGAACCCAGCCTTCAAGTAAAAAAGAAGAAAAATCAGTCCAGCAGTGAAGGGGTTAATGCCATGTAAACCTCTGCCCCCCACACCGCACAGATTAAGAGCCCATTCACACTTGTGCGACTTGTCATGTGACTTTGGACCCCAAAGTCACATGACAAGTTGCAACCCATGTTTCCCAATGAGTACCGTTCCTATCTGTGGGACTTCAAGTCGCAGTGACTTAAAAGTAGTTCCTGCACTACTTTGGTCCAAGTAAATTTTTTTTTTTTTTTTTTTTTTTTTTTGTTAATGTGACTTGAGAGCCATATTCAATGTAATCCCTCCAAAGTCACACATGAATGATATACATGTGACTTGTGTGCAACTTTGTACAGCACTGCAAATTGGGCAATGATTTTGTTCTCTTAACTGGGGTCTCCATTTTGGACAACCCCTGTAGAACCCTACTGCAAAGAACTTCTGCGTCTCCCGGCGTCCGGCTTTAGCCACGGTCTCCCGGCGTCCGGCTTTAGCCACGGTCTCCCGGGGTCCGGCTTTAGCCACGGTCTCCCGGGGTCTTTAGCCACGGTCTCCCGGGGTCCGGCTTTAGCCACGGTCTCCCGGGGTCCGGCTTTAGCCACGGTCTCCCGGGGTCCGGCTTTAGCCACGGTCTCCCGGCTCCGGCTTTAGCCACGGTCTCCCGGGGTCCGGCTTTAGCCACGGTCTCCCGGGGTCCGGCTTTAGTCCCGCGTCTCCGGCGTTTAGTCCCGCGGTCTCCTGGCGTCTGGCTTTAGCCACCCCCCCACGTCTTTCCTGACTTTTGACAAACATCCAGCCACCCAGGAAGCCGAAATAGCTCAGTTGGGAGAGCGTTAGACTGAAGATCTAAAGGTCCCTGGTTCGATCCCGGGTTTCGGCAGAGACTTTTAATTCAGCAAGAGAAAATATTATTTATTTCTAAATGCAGCCTGGCTTTTATGCAAACAAATTTAAACCATATCTTAACCCCATGCCCCCCCCCCCCCCCCCCAAAACAAGGGAAATTACCTATTGCAGCTTATCTCTGCTTAGATATGGTGGCTGCATTAGTTTCATCCTCGTTGTTCTAGCCCATTATGTATTGTTTTTATGTTGTAGTGAACTGCATCATATTATTATTTTTATTAGTATTGTGCAGCAGTCTGCAGACATCTAGTAGAGGATTTAGGCCACTATAGATTGCCATTTTGTCCTCCCCTCTTGTTTAGTGCTAGTAAGTTCGGTCCTAATGAGACCCTCCTCATTTCTTCCATGTTGCCTCAGCCAGTGTTGCTCATTCGTAGAGACAGGGCTCCGGCTCCTCACACTTCCAAAGACTGGATAAACATCCTCTGTACTGCAGTGCGTTGAAGTACAATTGCGTGTGATCTGACTTCTGTGTCTTATTGAAGCATTAAGATGGTGCCAAGTCAGCAGCTGACCATCCTGTCCAGACAGACCATGTCTAAGGAGGCATGTCAATGCATAATGTGCCATTGGAGAAAACACTCCTCATGTTGAAAGGAACTTATCCAACCCCTTCGGTTGTTCTTCCAGGGGGTTGAAGACCCGGATGAATGCTATGTTGTTCAATGAACAGATGTCTAGCATTTTTCATGATTCTCATACGAGATTCCTTAAGGTTTGGGAACCTTGGATACCTTATTCCTTGCCATCCCTGCCTCCTACTAGTTATGGTCTCTATAGTCGCTGCCTATGCCAGCCCTGGATCCGTGATCCTTCTAGTTTCCCTTCTTTAATGTTTTCTTTCTGATTCCCTTTTTTGTTTTATATTTTTTTTTTTTTCCCCCTTAGGTCTCACGCACGTGGTCGTATCTGGGTATATAGAGTAGATTCTTGGAGTATTTCCCCACTGGGAAGGCCATATGGCTATACTGTATGTGTACAGGTATAAAACTCCAGACACAAATAAAAACAAAGTAGTAAAATAAAACAAATAAACATTAATTTAAAAAAAAATAAAGTAGCATTAAAAAAGCAAAACTAATAAAAACAATACGTAATAAACAACAATTAAAAATAAAGAAATACATTTTTATTATTCTTAATCATTTTAGAAAAATGTGTAACATGCTATAATATGTATTCTATTAACCAGACAAAGCGGCTGCATAATTTTTTTTTTTTTTTTTTTTTTTTTTTTTTTTTTTTTTTTATTTTTCAGGCAGTAGAATTACAGACTCTGTGGAAAGACAGCACGAGCGTCATTTTTTTCTTGCGGAGGTTTGGATGCCAGATCTGCCGCTGGATTGCAAAGGACGTGTCACAGCTAAAGGAATCCTTAGATGCCAACCAGATCCGGCTCGTAGGGATCGGCCCAGAAACGGTGGGTCTGCAAGAGTTCCTGGATGGCAAATATTTCGCAGGAGGTAAGTAGTACGGTATGTAGTCAGCAACTAGGAAATGTTGGATCTGCTTGCCACATGGTGAAAGTCGAGACCCAGTAACCCCCTTTAGTGATCCACAGCCAATTGCCCAGCTCAAACAATGCCACATGGGGGGGGGGGGGGGGAATGACATCAGCACACCAAGACTATCTGGCAAGGAGCTTACACAGGGTTGGGATTCTGTGTGGAATGTGTTTGAGATTTTTTTTTTTTTTAATTGGCTGTTTGTGTTTGTAGCATTTTTAAAAGGTTGATTAGGAATACATTGTTACCATTTTCAGATTTTCGAACAGATTTTTTCATATATGTATGTGTGTTTGGGTTTTTTCTTGTTTTTTTTTTGTTTTGTTTTGTTTTGTTTTTTTTTGTTTTTTTGCAGCTTGGACCAACGTTATACATATTTAATATCTGGCCAATCCCTGTTGAAGGGATCGCTGTAGTAGTCACCACTACAGCACTGATGCTTGCTGTCTTCTGGGTCCCATGCTGAGCAGCTATCCTGCGCCTATAGCATTAATGAGCATTTCAGACGTTTTTGCAGATGTGTTCAAATAGCATCAGGTGATGCTACTCAAATTCCGTGTTTTTTTTGTTTTGTGTTGTTTTTTTTTTTTTTTGGGGGGGGGGGGGGGGGGGGGGGTGGTTTGGGGGTTTTGTTTTTTTTTTTTTTTTAAGCTGAATGCACATTGTGTAATGCAACTGGAAATTTTCTTGATTTTTTCCAGAGCTATATCTAGACGAATCAAAGCAGAGTTACAAGGAGTTGGGGTTTAAGAGGTGAGTCTTTGCACGTCTGCAACTTTACAGGACTTTAAATCAGATTAAAAAAAAAAAAATCAGTACATGTAAAAATGTAATATATTGCAGATCACTAAAGTTGGGCATGGGTTATGGACCCAGAAGGGTGCTGTCACTACTGCCCAGTCAACTTCAGCCAGGGCATTTCCCACCCCCCATGCAGCTGTATGTACAGAAATTGGTGGACATGCCCATGACATCATTGACCTAATATAACCTACTTTGGCCAAATTACCATATTAGGTTGATGTCAATGACCTAATGTGATCGTGTAGCCATATTAGACCAGTGATGTCATGGACATCCCCGTCCTTTTTGTGTACATGTAGCTGTGGGGCAGGGAATGCCCTGGTTGCAATTGAGTGGGTGGGAGTGACGACTTCCTTCCAGGTCCAGTTCAGACCAAATCCATGCTCATCCTTTGTGATATGCAATGTCATTGACCTAATGTGGCCATCTAGCCTTGTCAATGATGTCATGGGAATCCCCACCCCCTTGTGTATAGACCTCTGCAGGGTCAGGGAATGCCCTGACAGCAGATGATTGGGTAGGAGTGACAGCTTCCTTCTGAGTCTGGTCTGACCCCAAAGCCATGCTCATCCTTAGTGACCTGCAATGTTATTGCCCTAATGAAGTCATGTAGCCATATCAGGTCAATTATGTCATGGCCATCCCCACCTTTTTGAGTAAACCCTTCTGTGGGGGTGGGGGAATGCCCTTGTCAGTTGATTGGGTGGGAGTGACGGCTTCCTTCCAGGTCCAGTTTGAACCCAGTTGATTGGGCAGGAGTGCTGGCTTCCTTCCAGTTCTGGTCCAAGCTAAGTTCAGATCAAACCCATGTTCATCCTTTGTGATCTGCAATGTCATTGACCGAATGTGGTCATGTAGCCATACTAGATCAATCATTGGCATGTCTGTCTTTGTGTACACACACAGCTACGGAGGTAGGGAATGTCCTGGCTGCAGTTGATTGGGCAGGACAGCTTCCTTCTTAGCCTGGTCCAACCCTATATTTAGACCAAACCCATTAGATTGCTTTTGGCGCCACTCAAATTGGAGGTGAAAGCACATTATTATTTTATTATTGTACAGTAAAGTGCCAATAGTTCGCTCAGCGCTGTACATTACAAAGGGGGACATAACAATACAATGCAAAACATGAGGGGATCGAGGGCCCTGCTCTTTCAAGCTTACAATCTAGGAGGGAGGGGATGGTGGTACAGGAGGAGATAGCTGTGGGGGATGGAGTGGTAGGAAGAGTGGAGGAGGTTGGCAATTTAGCAGGGGGTGGGGTAGGCTTCCCTGAAGAGGTGGGTTTTCAGGGTGCGCCTAAAGGAGAGGAGAGTAGTTGATAATCTGATGGGTTAGGGCAGGGAGTTCCAGAGGGGGGGTGACACCATGGAGAAGTCCTGGAGGCGGGCATGGGAGGAGGAGACCAGGGAACTAGAGAGAAGGAGGTCTTGTGAGGAGCGGAGTGTGCGTGTTGGGCGGTACTTGGATCTTAGGTCAGTGATGTAGTTCGGGGCAGTATGGTGGACGGCTTTGTACGTCAGTGTTAGGATTTTGAATTTGATGCGTTGCGCAATCGGAAGCTAGTGGAGGGATTGGCAGAGGGGGGTGGAGCTAGTGGAGGGATTGGCAGAGGGGGGTGGAGCTAGTGGAGGGATTGGCAGAGAGGGGGGTGGAGGGATTGGCAGAGGGGGGTGGAGCTAGTGGAGGGATTGGCAGAGGGGGGTGGAGCTAGTGGAGGGATTGGCAGAGGGGGGTGGAGGGATTGGCAGAGGGGGGTGGAGCTAGTGGAGGGATTGGCAGAGGGGGGTGGCGGAGATGGAGCGGTTGTCCCAGAACATAGGATGTAGGCCTGTCCTAATACCAATTCAGAGGGCTAGTCAATGTATTGAGGAAAGGATCACCTCTATTCCCGACCAGCCCAGGTGAATAAACGATAGTGGCCTCGGCCTACATGTCTTCACCAAACCACACACCAAGATGCATTTCACTCACCCATCAGAGCTTAGTCATGAAGTCACACTAAACCCACACTTATCCTTAGTGATCTACAATGCCATTGACCTCATTTGGACATGTAGCCATACTAGGTCAATGATGTCATGGTGTTTGCATATCTGCAGGGGCGGGGCATGACCTGGCCACAGTTGTTTATGCGGGAGTGAATGCCTCCTAGGTCTGGTCTAAACCAAGATCAGACCAAAGCCATGTTTGTCTTCAGTGATCTGCAATGCCATTGACCTAAAGTGGTCATTATTAGGTCAATGATGTCATGGCCATCCCTGCCTCTTTGTGTATGCGTATCTGCGGGGCGGAGCATGCCCTGGGCAGGAGTGAATCTTCCTTTCAGGTTTGGTCTGAACCCACAGTGGGGGTAAGAACACTAAAAATGATAAATAATGTGTCTCTGTGACCGCTAGTGCCTGCACAGTGTAGTGACTCCTAAAGATACATAATATCCTTTTTATATCAGAATATGGAACTGATGTGGAAAGTTGTAAATATTATATATGCATAAATAAAAAATATACACTCACCAGCCACTTTATTAGGTCCACCTGTTCAATTGCTTAGTAACATAAATTGCTAATCAGCCAATCACATAGCAGCAACTCAATGCATTTAGGCATCTAGATGTAGTGAAGATGATATGCTGAAGTTCAAACTGAACATCAGAATGGGGAAGAAAGGGGATTTAAGTGACTTTGAACGTGGCATGGTTGTTGGTGCCAGACAGGCTGGTCTGAATATTCAAAAACTGCTGATCTACTGGGATTTTCACACACAACCATCTCTAGGGTTTACAGAGACTGGTCCGAAAAAGAGAGTATTCAATAAGTGGCAGTTGTGTGGAGGAATATGCCTTGTTGAGGTCTGAGGAGAATGGGCAGACTGGTTCGAGATGATAGAAAGGCAACAGTAACTCAAACCCTCGTTGCAACCAAGGTATGCGGAATACCATCTCTGAACGCAAACACGTCGAACCTTGAAGCAGATGGGCTACAGCAGCAGAAGACCACACCAGGTGCCAGTGTCCCCATCTTCTGATGGCTCCTTCCAGCAGGATAATGCACCATCTCACAAAGCTGAAAACATCTCCAACTGGTTTCTTTAACATGACAATGAGGTCACTGCACTCCAATGGCCTCCACAGTCACGAGATCTCCATCCAATAGAGGACCTTTGGGATGTGGTGGAACGGGAGATTCGCATCATGGACGTGCAGCTGACAAATCTGCTGCAACTACATGATGCTATCATGTCACTATGGACCAAACTGAGGAATGTTTTCAACACCTTGTCTATCTATGCCATGAAGAATGAAGGCAAAAGGGGGTCCAACCCGGTACCAACAAGGTGGACCTAATACAGTGGCCGGTGAGTGTATGATGTAATGTGTCTCTGGCGGTGCTGATCTCCGCATCCTGATCTTTCAGATACAATGCGCTTTCTATAGTCCCGGCTGCTCTGGGGAAGAAGGTGCGAGATATCGTCACAAAGGTGAGAAACACGAAAATGTCACAACTTTGTCCATTATTGTAATGTTTTTCACAGGTATATGAGCTGTGCTAATGAATGTCTTCTCAGCTGCTCGAAGTCTGTTTAACCCCTTCATGCCGACATCGCACAAATATACGGCCTCACAACACTGGGCTTTTTTCCGTGGGGCCGCATAGTTGCGTACCTGTTTTTCTGCTGGGAGTGCTTTGCACAACACGCTCCTAGCACAAAGACTGGGGTGTCACTGAGAGCCCCGGGTCCCATTCTAACGATCTGATTCCGGGTCACATGATCGCTGTGGTAGCCCCTGATTGGCTATCACAGTGATCAGTCACTGTATAGCATGGCCCTTTTTTTTTTTTTTTTTTTTTTTTTTTTTTTTTTTTTTCTCTCTAGGAAAGTCCAAGAAGTGATGAAATGCGTCGGACACGTGACGTCTGCCGCTATACCGGAAGTGCAGTTGCAGACATCTTTGAAGTGGGAACATGTGGTTTTTCCCTCTATTGAACTACATCTGAGCAAATCTCTTATGCTGGGAACTGATTACTTCGAATTTTAATTGCCTTATTCATGGAGAGAGAGGAGGTTGGTTTGATAATATAGTTCCTTCACCCATTCTGGCTGACTTGAAGTATCCAAAAGTATGGGAGCAATACTCTGCAAACAGATCATCACTCCCAGAGCAATAGCGATTATGCTGATTTTATAATTTGATCATTGGATTATATATATTTATATACAGATTGCTACATTATTTATCACTTTATGGTGGTTGGATTTCATATCTGAATTGTGGATATTTATTTTTATTTAGTTTAGGTATATTTTATTTTTTGGTTGAAGTTATTTTGTGACACTTATTATTGATTAGCGCATTCCTTTTTTCTATTGATTATTTGATCTAGTTTAGTGCCAGGGTAAGTGTTTGGGTCTTTTTTTATTTATTTATTTTTTTTTTTTTATTTTAAATTGGTGTCAGTGTGTTGTAGGTAAAACCAAAAACAAAATGCGCACTATTTGTTTCTGGGCTGTACTATGGGTGCAAACAACAAATAAGATACACATATATGGTATCGCTGTGATTGTCAAGAGCTGGAAAATGTATTTTGGGTTGTTCTTGGTGATAGGTTATGGTAGTAACAAACAGTTAAGTTTATGTATTATACATGGAGATCATATCCCCCCCCCCCCCCCTCCCCTTATGTATTATACATGGAGATCCTACCCCCCCCCCCCCCCTTATGTATTATACATGGAGATCATATCCCCCCCCCCCCTTTATATATTCTACATGGAGATCATATCCCCCCTTATGTATTCTACATGGAGATCATATCCCCCCTTATGTATTCTACATGGAGATCATATCCCCCCTTATGTATTATACATGGAGATCATATCCCCCTTATGTATTATACATGGAGATCATATCCCCCCTTATGTATTCTACATGGAGATCATATCCCCCCTTATGTATTCTACTACATGGAGATCATATCCCCCCCCCTATGTATTCTACATGGAGATCATATCCCCCCTTATGTATTCTACATGGAGATCATATCCCCCCCCCCTTATGTATTCTACATGGAGATCATATCCCCCCCCCCTTATGTATTCTACATGGAGATCATATCCCCCCTTATGTATTCTACATGGAGATCATATCCCCCCTTATGTATTCTACATGGAGATCATATCCCCCCTTATGTATTATACATGGAGATCATATCCCCCCTTATGTATTATACATGGAGATCATATCCCCCCCCTTATGTATTGTACATGGTGATCATATCCCCCCCTTATGTATTATACATGGTGAGATCATATCCCCCCCTTATGTATTGTACATGGTGATCATATCCCCTCCTTAATCTCCTCTTCTCAAGAGAGAATACATTCAGTTCTAATCTTTCCTCATAGCTATAGTCTATACCTCTTAATACAAGAGGGATTTTGCTCGCTTTAGAACCCGCAGCTTGGCATTGCATGCCATTATTAAGCTTGTGATCTACCAGAACCCCCAGATCCTTCTCCACCATTGACCCCCCCCCCCCCCCCCAGATCCTTCCTTGACCCCCTCCCCCCCTCTCAGATCCTTCTCCACCATTAACTCCCAGTTGTACCCCCCTAGTTTTGCATGCATATTCTTAGCCCCCAAGTGCAGAACCAGGAGCGGACTGACAACTCATGGGGCCCGGGCAATAGGGGATCATGGGACCCCTTTGTCCTTGCGCAAACTCAAAAAAACTATGAAAGAGGTACCAGGGGCATCTCATGGGGTCCCTACTCAGTCCGCCCCTGTGCAGAACCTTACATTTATTAACATTAAACCTCATTGGCCCCATAGTCCCCCAATTACACAGAGCATTGAGGTCGGCTTGTAAGTTGGAGACATCCTGTAAGGACGTTATTGCCCGGCACAGCTTGGTGTCATCTGCAAAGACTGAAATGGGATTTATAATCCCCGAACCTATATAGTCTATAAATATATTAAAAAGTAACATCCCAACACTGAATCTTGGGGTACACCACTGACACCCCGAGACCACGCAGAGTATGAATCATTAACCACTACTCTCTGAATACCATCTTTTAGCCAGTTTTCTATCCATTTACATATGGCTTTTTCCAGCCTGTAGACTTTACCTTACACATTAGCTGTGTGTGGGGAAACTGTGTCAAACGCTTTTGCAAAATCCAAGTGTACCATGTCCACCGCCACCCCTCTGTCCAAGTGTACCACCATGCCCACCGCCACCCCTCTGTCCAAAGTGTACCATGTCCACCGCCACCCCTCTGTCCAAGTGTACCATGTCCACCGCCACCCCTCTGTCCAAGTGTACCATGTCCACCGCCACCCCTCTGTCCAAGTGTACCATGTCCACCGCCACCCCTCTGTCCAAGTGTACCATGTCCAAGTCCAAGTACCATGTCCACCGCCACCCCTCTGTCCAAGTGTACCATGTCCACCGCCACCCCTCTGTCCAAGTGTACCATGTCCACCGCCACCCCTCTGTCCAAGTGTACCATGTCCACCGCCACCCCTCTGTCCAAGTGTACCATGTCCACCACCCCCCCATGTCCACCCTCTGTCCAAGTGTTCCACCGCCACCCCTCTGTCCAAGGTTTGTATATATATTAAAAAAATCCCGCCACATCCATGCCAGTCTATGCAGCCTGACTGCAGTCCTCAGCGAGGTAACTTCAGTCACTCTATAGTAAAGGTTTTGCCCGATTTTTAATCTCAAAATAATAATTTTATGTCATTTTTATTTCCCCCAGGCTAACGCAGTTGGGGTCCAGGGCAATTTCAGTGGAGATCTCCTACAGAGCGGTGGGATGCTCATTGTCAGCAAAGGTAAGGAAAAGAGGGGTGTTCTCTCATGACCACATTTAAACAGGTCTAGTGCAAAGCAACCTAGCAGTGCGAGAAGATGCAGATGGAAGCTGCAATTCTCTGCCTCCTTGTTCACATACGGTCTGAGAGCATTGAAGCTGAATTTACTCTTTAAGCCCGGGTTCACATATATGCAGTGCGGTATATCACATGCGATTTGTGTGCGGTGCGATCTGAGTCATACATTTTGTACGGCTCTATTCGCACCGCACCAAAAAAGGTGCAGGACCCTTTTTAGGTCCACACTAGAATCGGATCGCGTGAGTATTCACACCCATGCGATCCAATTCTGCACATCGCACCACGTTTTGCTGACTGATTTTGGGGTGTTAACATACACACCCGCAGCGGTTTGCATGAACGGGGTGCGATTCTGATGCGGTGCAGAATTCACACTCTGCGATTTCCACACCGCATCAGTGTGAACCAGGGCTTGTGCAGCTTCAATCCATGGCTTCTCACACTAGTAGCTCACTTTGTAGCAGAATTATGGCCTAAAAATTTATCCGTAGCCAAACATTTTCATTTTGGATAACGTAGGGAGCATGAAGGCTCGGTTCACACCTCCAGGTTCAACTGAGCGCAGGCACAGCCCCGTGCATCGGTGTGGGGCAGCCCATTCATGTCAATGTGCTGCCTTACACTTGAGAAACGTAGAAGAGAAGTCCCTGACTCTTTTCCAAAGATGTGCCACACCCAAATCACATGGAGCCGTGGCATCAAATAATGGCATCCTCGCATGTCTGCTAAAGGGCAGCGTCTCTCTCTCTGGAAAGCGTGAAATTTTGCATGTTCCTGATACACACAGGTCTGAACCCAGGCTAAGAATTGCCCTGGTGTTTGTTTTGTTTTTTTTTTTTTTTTTTTCCTTGTTAGTGGCCATGTGTTGGAAATGTTTCTATACTGCCAGTCCCAGGAAGTTTTACAAATGGGGAAAATATGGCAAAATACATTTAAATAGGAATATTTATTTAAAGTGTCACCAAAGGCAAAACTTCTTTTTTTTTTTATTTTTTTTCATTTTTGGATAGAGTAATGGAGGGTTATAACCCCTGTTGGATTTTTTTTTTTCTTCCTTTTTTGGGTAGAGTAAGTGAGGGTTATAATCCCTTCAAAGTGGGGTGTTACCAGAACTAGTGTCCCCATTGGAAGTTTTCCCCTGTTCCTGTTCTGGTGAAAATCCAAAATTTGGGATTTCCCCTTTTCATTGCCCATGATAATAGTAAACAGGACAAATAGAGAGGGTGAATCAGACTAACTGGAGCACAGACTGCAAAAAAAATAAAACCTGACGGGTTCTATCCATACAGTATGGGTAGAATTGTCTGTCCTGCAGTGCCGGGGTCCTGATTTCAAGTTCCACTAGGAATGTGTACATTGAAATTTGAATGTCTTCCCACATTTGCTTGACCTGTTTTTGGTTTCCTTTCACAATAAAAAAAAAAAAAAAAAAAAAAAAAAAAAATGCATGCATCATATTTTCCGACCGGCCCTATAGTGGGCATGAGTGGAGATTAGATTGTAAGCTCTTCTGAGGAAGGGACAGGACTGATGTGAATGGCGCACAGGATTAGTAAGCACAGCAAAATATTTTAACACCTGATTTATGAACACCGGATCTTCCTAGCAGAGCGTTCCTGCGTACTCCTGCATGAAATTCTGACTAGTAACGTGTGGTTTTTTTTTTTTTTTTTTTTTTTTGCCCCTGATCTATACACAGTGCTAGTTTACTGATATTTATGCACCTGTGTGTATGCAGTAGGCTGTATTCAGATCAGTAGGAAAAAAGTCTGAACACATTTTCGGCAGCCATGTGCAGCAGCCTCAAATAGGGAAATGCAAACTATAGGGCAATTGACAAGCAAAATGAGGCACTACCCAAAAGTAGCCACTAGGTGGCGACAAAGCAGCATCATCTGAAAGATTTGGAGCCTTTATTTAAAATCAATTATTGGTAGGCTGCTGATTTTAACCCTTGCTGTATCAGATCTGCTTTTGTTTTTTTGTTTTGTTTACCCAGAATGCACCATAGGTAACTTATTTTTTTTCTATCATTGTCGTTCTAGGTGGAGAGAAAGTGATCCTTCACTTTGTTCAGGACTCTCCCGGTGACTATGTTCCTCTGGACACCCTGGTCACAACTCTGGGGATTACCGCCGATGTGACCCCCAGTCAACGCCCTCAGGTGAGAAACCACCATGTGACAGCACATCTTTAGACGTATAAAATAACTGTTTGTCAGATGTACTGTAGGTGTGTGACTATACATCCCAACCACGGCACCACCTGCCTGGAGTTTGCATGTTTTCCCTGTGACTGCGTGGGTTTCCTCTGGGTACTCCAGTTTCCTCCCACACTTCAAAGACATGCTGGTAGGTTAATTGGCTCCTGTCTAAATTTTCCCTAGTATGTGTATGTATGAATGTGAGTTAGGGACCTTAGATTGTACACTCCTCGGGGGCGGGGACTAATGTGAATGTACAATATATATGTAAAGCGCTGCGTAAATTGACGGCGCTATATAAGCACCTGAAATAAAAAAAAAATAATACATCCCACCTCTAGAATTTATATCCAAAAAGCATGTAGGTAAGGGGACACACCCCTGCCATGCCCATCATCATCATACTCTATTCTATTCAAGTATGTATTCTGAACTCAGTCCCTTCTATTCTCAGACTCCTCCAAATCTAAAAAAAATTTTTTTTTTTTTTTTTTTTTTTTTTTTAAATTTGCTGCCAATGATTGACTTCCTGTTAGAAGATGGCTACATTCATTCTTCGTAGTCCCACTGTGTCTAGGAATGTAGCCACCCTCTCTTGTTTAGATGGACTCTGGAAGGTGCGGTCATGTGCACTGCTCTATGAACACTGCAACGAAGGTACACTGCTTGTTCCCAAAAAAAAAAGGAGGTGAGGGGAAAAGAGAATTTTGGGAGCTCATGCAGTTAATCAATAGGAAACAATTTAATGTAAAATAGATTACAGGGTCATTAAAGGAGAAGTTCACCTTTTTCACAAAAAGAGAAAAAAGGTGAGCTGACCCCAAATATTCTGTCCGCAGATCTCTTTAAACACTGTGGCTATGATCCCCTGTGCTGCCAATACATAGGTGAACGTATTCAACCAGTCCAACCCCACCCATCCCTGGTCTATAGGCAAATGATGGCCAGGTACCACACTCACCGTTCTAGTTGGACATCATATGACTTCCTCCTGGAATGTACCTTGCGCGCCAAATGGAACACGCTGCGGCGTGATCTGTCACCTACTGTGTTCAATGAATGACCAATTAGTGTACCGGGTGCTGCTGGTACCATGTGATCACAGCAGATCACATGACAATTGTACATAATGGATGGCATTCGTTCGTGCCATCCATCGTGTACTATTGATCTGTGATTGGTCACAGTGAACACATGGTACAGGGCCCAATCACGGCCCATCTGTACCATGTGAGTAGCTGTGTCCAATCACAGCTAACCACAATGGTAAACTCTGAATCAATTTCATTCAGTGAAAAAATTGATTCAAACAGTAAAATTCACTAATATAAGCAATCGCAGCGTGTTAAAAAAAAAAAAAAATAAAAAAAAAAAATAAAATCCTGATCACTTCCCCAGAATAGTACAATGTTACTATGGTAACGCTGTATTGCTCTTGTCACGGTGTGTTTAAAAACAAAAAAAAAACAAAAAATAAAATTAAAATTCGTTTGTGTTTTTTTTTTTTTTACATACTGTCACCAGTCTGTGTCCCCGATCACCGCCACACCAGTTATAGGATGACGCTGTACTGCACTGGTGACAGCATGTGAGGGGGGGAAAAAAAAAAATATTTTCTATTTCTTCATTTTACAAAAAAAGTGACGAAAAAAATTACAACTCCACCATGCCTCTTACTAAATACCTCCAGACTGTCTAATTTTGAAAAAAGGGGTCATTTGGGGTATTTGTACTGTCCTGGTGTTTTTCGGGCCTCAAGACATTAGATCAGTGCCATCAGTACAAATCGGATATATATCTCGTAGTTTGGACTCTATAGCTTTCCTACAGCCTAAATAATAAACACTGATTTGGGTTATTTTCACTAAAGAAATGTAGCAGAATATATTTTGGCCTACATTTTATGAAGAAAGATTTATATTTTTTTTTCAAAAATGTTCTGTCTTTTTCTAGTTTATTTAGCAAAAAATAACACCAACAAAAGAGCTCCATTTCTAAATTTCTAAAAATGTCTTATGGGTACAGTGTTGCATGACCGTGCAATTGTCATCTGAAAGCGTGACCGCGCTGAAAACTGGCCTGGGCAGGAAGAGGGTGAAGGTGTCCGGTATTGAAATGGTTAACCAGTTCCCTACCGCACTATAGCCGAAGGATGGCTACAGCGCGGTTGCCTGGTTCTGGGACAACGTCCATGGACGTCATTCCAGAACACGGTGCCAGTGATCGCGGTGTCCTACGGACACAGCTGATCACGGGATACAGCAAACGGCCAATCACAGTGACCTTTTTACCACGTGATCAGCTGTGTCCAATGACACAGCAGATCACGGAGTAAATACAGTTGCCGGTTATCAGCTGCACTTTCCTTACTCTGTCACAGCATGAGGAAAGTACTGCCGAATAACCGGCAATTTTCAGAGAAGTGATCGGCACCGATCATCAGGGCACTGATGATCTGTGCCCATCAGTGCTGCCAAATTGTGTCTTGCAGTGCCACTCACCTGTGCAATGCAGTGCCACTCATCGGTTCTGCCCATCAGTGTTGCCTATCAGTGCGGCCTCATCAACGCACATCAGTGAAGCAGAACAATTACCTGTATGAAAAATTTTATAATAGAAACAAACTTTTTTTGCTCTCTT